AAAAAAAAAATATATATATATATATATATATATATATATATATAAAATGAGATATAAGAAACGTATACAGATAACTGTAATACAGGACTGAATATAAGAGAGACAAAAATAATAGGGGGGCTTACAGAAAATGGGCAAATTGTTGCTGTTTGGTGTTGTGAATTAGAATAGACAAGGATAATTAAAATGTTTTAAACAAAAGTTGAAAAATGATGGAGCCATTAATATAAATGGACAGTTCCATACGAGAAACTACTTTGAGTAGGGAGATAAGTCATATGTGCTCTTGGAATATATAAATACAAAGGTTCTGCAGGGTTTATGGTTCTGGAATGTAGGAAAGAAAAGAGATTCAGATTTGGAGTGATGACATTCTTTTGATATTTGACTTTGATGACGTGTAATGGAGGATGTCACTGGATGTTATTGAAGCATTTTGAATTTCAGAATCGGAGAGATTAAAGACAAAAAGACTGAGTGATTGTTGAAGATTTGCTTATCAGTAGATTATTGATGCCTTTAGGGACTTCTGTAGGTGGAGAGTGGCAGCTGAACTGTAGTAGTTTGAAGAATGATTGAGGAAGGGAAGTGGCATCAGCAACCTTCTTTTGAAAAGTTTGTGAAAAGAAATTGAGAGAGGCCATCAATCTGAAGGAAAACTGCTTAACCCAAAAGAGCATGTGTTCTTGTTAATGGATAGTGGGAAATTAAGTTGGATAGATAGAATAGGGCCAAGTGGCAGAGGACCTTTGAGGGTGATTGGAGAATGAATACGCAATTCATGGAGTATGTTATGGCAACTGAGCTGGCAGAATTGTGAGGCTGGCTGATGGAATCCGTATTTAGTGGTTAGAGCCAGGTGCTTGGATATGATCAGATAAATTCAGAACCCTTGCCATTTAAAAGCAGAGGAATGGCATGACTTTGTGCAGAAGATTCTATGACTTTCAAATCATTCTCTCTAGCCCCAGTTTTTCTCAACTAGTCCTATGGCTTCGATTTTTACCTGTCATGTATTCTGTATGCTGATGATTCCCAAATCCATCTTTCTAATGCAGGTTGTCTCCTAAGTTCTAGAACTGTGTATCCATCTGCTTACTGGATGTTTCCATGAGGATGCTAATAGGATGCTACCTCTATATCTGTGGCTTATAATAAACTTCGTTTTCCTTATGGGATCTCAGGAAAAATGAAAAGTCCAATTTTTAATGCTTTTTAAAGAGAGAAAATGCCTCCTTTGTGTTGAAATCACTTCCAAAATAACAAACGTTATGTCATATTTTGGGGGAGGTTCCTGTGGGAATAGTTTACACCAATAGGGGAAACTCCAAGCTAAAGAAAAAAGTTATTATTTGAGTTATAAAAGCACATTTCATTTCTGTTATCTTCTCAAGAACTGACTACTAGAAAATGTATTCCACTGTAAGTAAAGCATTCTTTTTTAAAATTGAAATATAGCTGATTTACACTATTGTGTAGTTGTAGCTGTACAGCAAAGTGATCAGTTATATAATATTTCAGATTATTGTCCATTATAGTTTATTACAAGATATTGATATCGTTCCCTGTGCTATGCAGTTGATTCTTGTTACTTTTCTATCTTACACACAGTAGTTTGTATCTGTTAGTCCCATACTCCTAATATAACCCCCCTTCCCTTTCCCCTTTGGCAGCCATAAGTTTGTTTTCTACGTCTGTGAGTCTGTTTCTCTGTTTTGTTTATAGATTCATTTGTAGTATTCTTTAGAGTCCCCATATAAGTGATAATATTTGTCTTTCTATGTCTGATTTATTTCACTTAGTATGATATTCTCTAGGTCCATCCATGTTGCTGCAAATGGCAATATTTTATTCTTTTTTATGGCTGAGTAATATTCCATTGTGTGTATGTATGTATGTATGTATGTATGTATATCTATATCTATATCTGCCACATCTTCTTCAACCAGTCATCTGTTGATGGGCACTTGGGTTGTTTCCATGTCTTGGCTATTGTAAATAGTGCTGCTGTGGACACTGGGGTGCATGTATCTTTTTGAATTAGAGTTTTCCCCAGGAGTGGGATATTGCTGGATCATATGATAGTTCTACTTTTATTTTTTTTAAGGAACCTCCATACTGTTCTCCATAGTGGCTGCACCAATTTACATTCCCACCATCAGTGTAGGAGGGTTCCCTTTTCCCCACACCCTCTCCAGTATTTATTATTTGTAGACTTTTTTTTTTTTTTGCGGTACGCGGGCCTCTCACCGTTGTGGCCTCTCCCATTGCGGAGCACAGGCTCTGGACGCGCAGGCTCAGTGGCCATGGCTCACGGGACCCGCCGCTCCGCGGCATGTGGGATCCTCCCCGACTGGGGCATGAACCCGTGTCCCCTGCATCGGCAGGCGGACGCTCAACCCCTGCGCCACCAGGGAAGCCCTATTTGTAGACTTTTTGTTGATAGTCATTCTGACCCACATGAGGTGATAGCTCGTTGTTCTGATTTGCATTTCCCTAATAGTTAGGGCTGTTGAGCATCTTTTCTTGTACCTGTTGGCCATCTGTATGTCTTTGCAGAAATGTCTATGTAGGTCTTCTGCCTATTTTTTGATTGGGTTGTTTGTTATTTTGATATTGAGTTGTATGAGCTGTTTGTATATTTTGGAGATTATCCATTTGTCAGTTGCATAGTTTGCAAATACTTTCTTCTATTCTGTAGGTTTTTTCATTTTACTGATGGTTTCCTTTGCTGTGCAAAAGCGTTTAAGTTTAATTAGGTCCCATTTGTTTATATTTGCTTTTCTTTCTTTTGCCTTAGGATACTGATTTAAGGAAATATTGCTACAATTTATGTCTGAGAATGTTTTGCCTATGTTCTCTTCTAGTTTTATGGTGTCATGTCTTACATTTAGGTCTTCAAACCATTTTGAGTTTATTTTTGCGTATGGTGTGAGGGAGTGTTCTAACTTCATTGATTTTCATGTAACTGTGCAGCTTTCCCAACACCGCTTGCTTTTCTCTATCATATATTCTTGCCTCCCGTGTCGTAGATTAATTGACTGCACATGCGTGGGTTTGTTTCTGGGCTCTCTGTTGTGTTCCATTGATCTATATGTCTCTTTTTGTGCCAGTATGACAGTAAGTAAAGCATCCTTAAACTGTTTAGGGCCTGCTTCATTTATTCCCCTTTTTATTCCTCCTTTAAAGGAAATTACATGAATACACTCTGTATTACTTCACTGCTTGAAAAATTGAAATTGTCCATTTTTCATTGGGCCCAAAGATGAGATTTTTAGCTGGGAGGAGGGGAGACAATTTTTCTGAATAAAGTTCCCCAAGATATTTGGCCATTATCGGAAATAAAACAGAATGAATTTGTGGTGCTTTCTCAAAAGATCTTTCTTCCTGGAATCTGTATATGTTAACTCCCATCCCCCTGCTTCCCACTTTTTTAAAGACAGATACGAATAAAGTTTAATTCTTTGAAGAAAATACTTTAGAAGTATGCCATTCTATATTTTCTTTTTAAAAATAAATGTTATTGCATATTTTACATTTTTTCCATAAATACTATCAATATAAATATGCTCAATAGAGTACTACTTTTTAAACAATGCTTTTTGTTTAAATAGGTTTTGCAGATTTGGGAAAATAAAGACTACGGATCAGCTCGGAGTATTGTTCGTATTATTGGGAAAATTCTTCCTTTAGAACCTTGTCCCAGGCCTAATTTTGAGGTAAGTCAGTCAACATGCATTGTTTAAGCACCATGTGTAAAATTATCCCAGGTACTCCTAGGGACATAGGGTAGAACAAAAGAAGAAATGTTTCCTGCAAGCCAGAAACCTTTAGTTTATTCTGGAAACAAGTCATTTCACGTGTGTCTTTGTCTTTATTTTTTTTTAAGTAATTATATCCAAAGATTGGCAGATGTGAAGCAACCCCCGAGTAGCTTATTTTATTCTTTTAGTTTGTGTTTTATGTTGGATGACATTCACCAGGGGAGAGAATATTGCCACACGTGTAGACTTTAGAATAATTATTTTCCTGTTTTTTTTCTCACTAATAGGTGTATGTTTTTCTATTGCATATCCTTTTTCCTTTTCACTCTTGTGGATTTTTAACTTACACAAATAGTTTCCACGGGCATGTGTCTTTCCCCGACTCCCTGACTTTCTTTTTCCTTTTTTCCTTTAGCTGATCCCACTCTTGAACTCTGTGGACCCAGCTAACTGTGGATCTGTAGTTCCATCTTTTGCTGACATTTTGTATGTGACGAATGATGAAGAAGCCAGTTATCTCAGATTTCGGTAATTTTTCTACTTATCTTGGAAAGTGGGGTGTGGGCTATAATCTGAATTCTTCCACATGGTGAAGTATGTTCAGACTGATCGAGCCTTTTTATTTGTCTGCCTCTGTACTGCGCTGTGTCCTGCTAATGTCTTCCTAATAGGGATGACTGGTATTTTCTAATTTTTAGCCAGTTTTTTCTCTTTTTTTTTAACGTATTTTATATTTTTATTTATTATTTTTGGCTGTATTGGGTCTTCGTTGCTGTGCGCGGGCTTTCTCTAGTTGCGATGAGCTGGGGCTACTCTTCGTTGTGGTGTGAGGGCTTCTCATTGCAGTGGCTTCTCTTGTTGCGGAGCACAGGCTCTAGAGTGTGTGGGCTTCAGTAGATGCGGCATGTGGGCTCAGTAGTTGTGGCTCATGGGCTCTAGAGCGCAGACTTGGTAGTTGTGGCGCACGGGCTTAGTTGCTCCGCGGCATGTGGGATCTCCCCGGACCAGTGCTCAAACCCACGTCCCCTGCACTGGCAGGCACATTCTTAACCACTGCACCGCCAGGGAAGCCCCTAGCTAGTCTTTCTTAATGCACATTTAATCCTCACCCCAGGCCTAGGAAGGAATGATATTAAAAGGATATAAAAATCACCATGTTCATTTTTGGAGAAAGCTCTTTCCTATACTAAATACTATATTTATTTATTTTATATATTTAGCCAAAACTTATATAGTGTTTACTGTTTACCAGGCAATGATGTTAAATATATTTCAACATTTGGGTGTTTTACTGCTTGGTAATACTAACTTAGCTGATAGTGTATTCAGATACAGGCTGAAGTACAAAAGGATCAGTTATTCAAAAAAACTGGCTAAATTTATTCTATATCAAATTGGTTTATAAATTTTCAAAAAATTAGAATACGGTAAACTTACCCCAACATAACAAGGAATCCTATAGGACCTTATATTCCGAATATGTAGAATTTCTAAATAAATTAACTTTATTTCTAAATAAATCAATTTGTACTATATTTGAAGTTAATAGATAGGATTATTATTTTTGGTTTACAGTCTGAAAGCAAGATGTGTTCCTTCATTCACTGACCGCTTATTGGTCACCTATTAAAGTTAGCATTTGTTCTGGGTACTGAGAATATAAAGTTACATAAGATGTTGTTTGTCCTCAGTGAGTCTAGAGACCATTATAGGGTAAAGAGAGCTATTCTGATTTCGTTTTGGTATCTTTATTCTTTTTTTTTGTTTTTTGCGGTACGCGGGCCTCTCACTGTTGTGGCCTCTCCCGCTGCGGAGCACAGGCTCTGGACGCGCAGGCCCAGCGGCCATGGCTCACGGGCCCAGCCGCTCCACGGCATGTGGGATCCTGTCGGACCGGGGCGTGAACCCGTGTCCCCTGCCTCGGCAGGCGGACTCTCAACCACTGCGCCACCAGGGAAGCCCTGGTACCTTTATTCTTTAACTGAAAGAATTTATTTCTAGAAAATTTTTCTTCCTCCTTCTCTCTTTCCATTTTTTCCTTCCACCTACAGAAATAGTATATGGAAAAATGAAGAAGAGGAGGAAATTGCTTCTTTCCATCCTTTGCAACTAGTTGAAGATCCATTGACACCTGCTCTAAGGCATAACAAACCAACAAAAAGTGATTGGCCTGAAAGTGAAGCTGCAATTAAAAAAATAGCTGCCCTTGAAGATGAGCTAGCTTTTCTTCGCTCTCAGATTGCTGCAATTGTGGGAAGGCAAGAACTGAGAAACAGTACAAATTCTGGTGAGTAACGTTGGATTTTGATTTCAGTTGGATGATACTCATTTAGTATTTCAATCAGTGTGGTTCTGAGTAAGAAAAGAATGTTTGCTGCTAATGTATCTTATGAATGACATTAAATATGAAACGATGTTGGGTGTATATATGTATTACCTCTGATGTTTATTGAGAATAAATTAAGATGCATTTGTAGTGACAGGGATGGCTTTGGTTTAAAGAAGAGCTAGCTATGCTGCCGAAGATTGTAGTTTTGTATTTAAAAGCCTGTTTTCTAAGTATAGTTGTCCCTTGGCATCCACAGGGTGTTGGTTCTAGGACCCCTGTGGACACCAAAATCTTAGGATGCTTATGTCCCTTATATAAAATGGCATATTTACATATAACCTATACACATCCTCCATCCTCCCATATACTTTAAATCATCTCTAGATTACTTATAATACCTAATAAAATGCAAATAATTATAAATACAATGGAAATGCTATGTAAATGGTTGTCAGTGCATGGAGGATCAAGTTTTGCTTTTTGGAACTTTTCTGGAATTTTTTTTTTTTTCCATATTTTTGATCTGCGGTTGGTTCAATCTGCAGGTGTAGAGCCTGAGGATACGGAGGGCTGACTGTAAGCTTTTCTAACTCCGTAGAAAAGCGTTGGACATTTAAGCGGAGGGATGCATTAATTTGAGACAAGAGTATAGATTTGAGGCTTCATATATATATATATATATATATATATATATATGTATATATGTATATTTGTAGTTTGAAGTTATTGCTGCTATACTTCCACCAAATCTAGGTGAATACTGTTTTCCAGATGATTATTTTTAAAATTTTTAGAGATGAGACTTGCTTTAAGTAATATACATACACACACAATATCTGTATGTATATAGAAACATCCATATAAACGTATATAATTTGTGTATAACATAGTATTTATATAGTGTTGTATATTTATAATTTATATTAAATATTATATATACTACTGTGTAATAAATGAGGTATGATATATACACTTTTTTTTTTTTTAAAGATTTTATTCTTTTCTTTTTTTTTTTTTTTTTTTTGCCATCCGCTGGCCTCTCACTGTTGTGGCCTCTTCCGTTGCGGAGCACAGGCTCCGGACGCGCAGGCTCAGCGGCCATGGCTCACGGGCCCAGCCGCTCCACGGCATGTGGGATCTTCCCGGACCGGGGCACGAACCCGTGTCCCCTGCATCGGCTGGCGGACTCTCAACCACTGCGCCACCAGGGAAGCCCAATATATACACTTTTTTTAAAGCAATTGTGTTACACATGTTTTTAGGAGCAAATCTGTTGTGAAAAAGTTAAGTATTTGGTACCCGTCTTAGGCTCCTGCCTAGAAAATATATGCTTGGGTGTTTCTACAATGTCATCATTAGAGTGAATGTATCAGTTTGCATGTTTCTAGCCACAAGTTGTTGATCGTGTTTTAGCTTTTGTAAATAGAGGATGAAATTCAGATTGTATGTGAAAAAAGCACTTTTAATTTTCTCTTTAAAATGCATTCTCCCCCTTCCCCTACACAGAGAATGCTAATTGGATTAAAAATGAACTTACTGTTTGCTTGACTCTTTCAGAAATTACTAAGCAGATGGGATTGCTTCACCTTCCTGGCCACAGTGTCATTATTTTAGTAGCATTACAGAATTGTTCCCGTTTTGATTCTAATTAGTGTTCCGTGTTATACTGGAGAAGATTTTGCATGGTTTTTCAACAGACCACATTTTCTTTAGGCTCCTTGGACTTGAAGAACGACAGGCCTGGTGGTTTGGGACACATGCCATCATCAGGGACCACTCAGCTGAGTGTCGAACCAGATTCGTTTTCAAGTTCAGTGTTCCCCTCTCCTCCTCCCCCGCCGCCTCCTCAGGTTTCTCCTCTACAGCCTCCGTGTTCTCCTCTCGTGCACACAGCCTCTAATAATATTTGTGCATCAGATAATTCAGCAACTGAAGTGACAGAACAGCACCCAGATACTAGGAAAACCAATTTTAGTCATCATTCAAAAAACCAGAAAAATAAAGATGTTCCAAACATGTTGGATGTTCTGAAGGATGTGAATAAGGTTAAGCTACGTGCTATTGAAAGGTACGTTGTCATAATTTGAGAAATGAGCCCAAATTTTATCAATGGTGTTTAAAGAAATTATTATATTTATCAAAGTAAACATATATAAGTCTTCTCTTTGATTCCTCTTTACCCCAAATATCCCTTGAGAGAGAATCATTTTCAGTTTCTTGTGACTCTTTGTTCTAGTGTCCTATCTCCATATTTTTGAAACAACATACTACTTTTGCTATTTCTTGATATTTTAGTTATATTTACTTGCAATTATTAAAAATCTGGAATACGTTATCTTAGACATTCTACCCCCTAACACACATGCACACACACTTCTTATTACGTCTTCCCGATATGGTTAAGTCACAGTCTTTCCTTAAATCCGTGTTCAGAATTTATATCCTTACTATAACAGTAAACATTCACAGGTAAGCCATTTCATATACTATGACTACATTTTGTTTGTCGACTAATTTTATTTTTTATCGCGGTTAATAATTGCCTCCTTGAATCCCCCCCACCCCGGAAATCCCCTCACGGAGCCCTCTGTCCTGTTCTAATCTCACCTGTTGCTCTAAACTTCCTGCATTGTCATCCTAAGGATTTCCTTCGTCATCATGGGCATTCTCTTTGTCCTGTGTTGCATCACCCATTTCCTGGGTGTCATATCTTCCTGCAGCTTCCTGAGGAGTGCATGAAAGTTAGATTTAAGACCTTGTATATCTGAATTTCTTTTTCTTTTATTCTCACACTTAATTGCTAGTTTGGCTGGTTATATAATCGACAGAAAATCATTTTTCCTTAGAATTTTGAAGACATTTTTCCATCGGTTTCTAGCTCTCAGTGTTCCTGTTGAGAGGTTAATGTCATTTTGATTCCTGATGCCATGTATGAAACCTGTTTCTTCATTCTTTTTGTTTGTTTGTTTGTTTTTGTTTTTTGTTTTGCGGTATGCAGTCCTCTCACTGTTGTGGCCTCTCCCATTGCGGAGCACAGGCTCCGGACGCGCAGGCTCAGCGGCCATGGCTCACGGGCCCAGCCGTCCCGCAGCATGTGGGATATTCCCGGACTGGGGCACGAACCTGTGTCCCCTTCATCAGCAGGTGGACTCTCAACCACTGCGCCACCAGGGAAGCCCCTGTTTCTTCATTCTTGAAGCATTTAAGATCTTCTCTTTGGTCCTGGTGTTCTTAAATTTCACGGTGATGTGCCCTGGAGAGTTCTTTTTAAGTTTCTTATGCTGAGCATTTACTTCTTTTTAAGTTCCTTATGCTGAGTTCACTTATTGATTGAACTCAATCAGTTTAGAGTTTTATGTCCTTTATTTTTGGAAATTTCTTATAACATTTCTCTGATAATTTTCTCCTATTCTTTCCTTCTGTTCTCTTTTCTTGGAAAGCCTATTAGAAGTTTGAATGCCAGAATTATTTGTCTTATCTTCAGATCTTTCCTTTACTGTTTTCTTCTCTTTGCTTTTTTTTTTATTGTACTTTTTGAGAAAATTCTAACTCTTCTATTGTTTTTCCTGTCATCACTTGTTTTTTGGGGGTGTGGGGTGGGGTGTGAGGGACTGTGCAGCTTGTGGGATTCTAGTTCCCTGACCAGGGATTGAACCAAGCCCTCAGCAGTGAAAGTGTGGAGTTCTAACCACTGGACTGCTAGGGAATTTCCCCGTCATCATATTTTTAATTTGCGAGACCCATTTCTTTTTCTTTGATTGCTCCTTTTTAATGTCTTCTTGCTTTTGTGTGTCTTATGCTACTGAAAATATTAACTACAGTTTTATTCTAAGTTTTCTTTTGCTCTTGAATTATATTCATTTTTCCTGAGTTCCTTTTCCTCTTATTGATTTTGGTCTCCATTTATAGATTTGGAGCCTTATTTAAGTATCTGGTGATTTGCAGCTATGCATTTATATTTAAAAGTGAGGCACGGAAAAGCTGATTGAAGTTTCTTTGTGTGAGGTGGGGTTGCCAGCTGGTGGGCTTCACGATTCAGTCACTGAGGAGAGGACCTTGCCATTTTGTTAGCCAGATCCCATATTTCAGTAGCTGTATGTCTTTTCTTTGGGACTAGAGAGTTTTTCCAGAAAGTTCTTCATTCTCCTTCTTGGTCAGGAGAGTTGGGGATTACACAGGTGGTGCAAGCTAGGTAGTTTGAGAGTTGAGTGGGGAAAGGGCAAGGGAGGAGCTTATCATTCCATATGTGGACTTTTCCTCAATCCGTCTGTTTTCAGGAAGGCAGCTTACCTCCCATTCTCTTCACTGTCATCAGCTTTCCAGCTTTCAACATTTTGTTGCAATTCTTATCTACTCTCTCCTCTCATAATCTCTTTGTCTTTGTGGGTGTACATCTTTTTCATTTCTTTGCTGTCATTTTAGTAGGCTTTCACAGAGATCTGCCATGTTCACCAGGAAATTCCTCAGTGAAGTTTTGCTGAGAAAATAAATGTATTTTCTGTGTAATAGTGTGAGGACAGATAAGTCATTTCATTATTAATGAGGTTATGATTGAGCCTTGTAGGAGGCAGCTAGTACAGAGAAAAATCTTATGGTTGTAGGTACCCGTTTAGTCCCAACTAGATCTCTTACTGGTATCATCGGGCACAGTCGGTGTAAAATGGTGACTCTGTGGCTGTTACCATCACTGGAGAAATGACTGAAATGCCAGTAGACTCCACCCTCCACCCCTCTATTCTCTCATTTTTCTAACAACTGATCTTGTTTCTTACATTACTGCTAAATCCAACGAGACTTCCCACATCTTTACATTTACAAATTTACTACCCATCTTCTCTGCCTTCCATCTTGTTATTGCAAATGAAGCATCCTTGATCATGTCCATGCTCTCCCCTCGGTCGCTGGTTCCCCTTCTCTCTAAGCATTTCACTTAAAACTCTCTCTTCTGTCTTCTGCGTCATCAAATTTTCCATCTTTATTCTTCTCTTCACACTTGAGCATTTCCCATCTTCAAAACATGTATGCCCTCAGCTATTATAGTTTCCTGTTCCCTTTCTGGTATAAATTCTTGATGTTGTTTATAGTTTGTTTCCATTTCTCACTGCCTTCTAGTCACTGTAATATGGTGTCTGTTCCCATCACTCCATTGAAAACTGTTCTTTCAAGGTCTCCAGTGACTCCGTGTTGCTAAATCCAGCGGTCAGTTCTCATTGCTCTTCTTACTTGACCTCTCAGCAGCGTTTGATACAGTCCTCAGTTCCCTCCTCCTTGGAGCACGTTCTTCACTTGGCCCTGAGGAAATCATGCTTGGTTTTCCTCTTACCTCATTGTCCACCTCTTATTTCTTTGCTGATTCTTTCTTCTGGGCCAGGCCTCTGAATGTTGGCATGTTCAAGGCTCAGCCCTCAGCCCCCTTCTTCTCTCCACCCACATTGTCTCCTTGGGTGATCTCATCTAGTCCCAGGCTTTAGATACCAGCTAAATGCTAATGATGCCCACATGCATTTTTCTAGCCCTGACCTCTCCTCTGAGCCCCATGCCTACTTCACATCTTCATTTGCCTGTCTCACAGGTACCTCACGCTTCACGTGTCCAAAACAGAACTCTTCCTTCCCACCTGTTCCGTCCTCTGCCTTGAAAAGTTCTTCTTCCCCCAAGTCTTTTGCTTCTCAGCAGATGGCAACAATATCACCCTCAGTCCAGACATCTGGAAATCATCCTGTTTTTTCATTTCCTTTCTATCCCACATCCTTTCCATCAGCATACAGCTCAAATTTATGTACCCTCAGTGGTCCTCACTGCCACCTTTCAATCTAAGCCACTATCTTTTTTTTTTTTTTTTTTTTTGATGTGGACCTTTTTTTTTCCAAGTCTTTATTGAATTTGTTACATTATTGCTTCTGTTTTATATTTTGGTGTATTGGCCAGGAGGCATGTGGGATTTTAGCTCCCTGACCAGGGATTGAACCCACACCCCCTGCGTTGGAAGGCGAAGTCTTAACCACTGGACCACCAGGGAAGTCCTGCCACTATCTTTGTTTTTGCGGTACGTGAGCCTCTCACTGTTGTGGCCTCTCCCGCTGTGGAGCACAGGCTCTGGATGCGCAGGCTCAGCGGCCATGGCTCACGGGCCCAGCCGCTCCGCGGCATGTGGGATCCTCCCGGACCGGGGCACGAACCCGTGTCCCCTGCATTGGCAGGCGGGCTCTCAACCACCGCCACCAGGGAAGCCCCTTGCCACTATCTTACATAGCTTGGACTTTTGCAGTCGCCTCCAACCTGGTCTCTCTTTTCATTCTTGCCTCCTTATCTGTTCTTCATATAGTAACCAGAGTGACCTTTAAAAATTGAAGTCAGATCATGCCATTCCCCTGCTTAAAACCCTTTGGTGGTTTTTCCATTATGCTTAGAATGAAATCTTGACCCCTTGCTGTAGCTTGGAAGTCTCTCTAGGATTCAGCCCTTATCTCTCTGACCTCACGTCCTACTTCCCATCTTACTTAACTGCACTCCAGCTGTACCTGTTTTTCTTTTTTCTTTTCTCACAGGTGCCAACCTCCTTGCTGATGCCTCCACTGGATGTTTACACTAAAATTGACTGCTTGTCATTTCCTTAAAGAGAATGTCACCTCCTTTAAGAGGCTTTTCCTCATCATCTCATTGAAAGTGCTTTCATCCTAGCCACTATCACATTTCCCTCTTTTATTTTATCCACAGCACTGGATAATTGCTGTCCAAAATGTTCTTGCTTACTTGTTTTGGTGTTGCACTGTCCTGCCACCAGAGTGTTCTATGGAAGTAGGATACTGTTCTACCCCTGAAGCATAACATAGAGCCTGGTAAAATAGGGGGCATTAAGATTGAATGAATGAATGAACAGTTAGCCTGATGTTTTTCTTTTCTTGAACTCCATAGTCCTTTTTTTTTTTTTTTTTTTTTTATGCGGGCCTCTCACTGTTGTGGCCTCTCCCATTTGCGGAGCACAGGCTCCGGACGCGCAGGCTCAGCGGCCATGGCTCACGGGCCCAGCCGCTCCGCGGCACGTGGGATCCCCCCAAAACGGGGCACGAACCCGCGTCTCCTGCATCGGCAGGCGGACCCTCAAGCACTGCGCCACCAGGGAAGCCCCATAGTCCTTTTAAAAGTTCTTAAATATTTCTTTAAATTTTTCTACCCACTGGAAAATTAGAAAATAAAAAATAAAGATGATATTTGATAAATCCCAGGTTATAACGGATTGTGGTAGAGCCTCACATGGGTTCTCAGCTTTCTGATTACTAATCCATTGTGCCCTCCAGATTTGTTTTTTTTACAAGGCAAAACATTCCAGTCTCTTGAAGATTGTAATATATTACGCTTATATTTCCGCTGTGTTTGTCAATAGGGAACTTAAATTACACAAAGTTTTAATTTATTCCATTTTTTTTAAAGGTCCCCTGGGGGCAGACCCGTTCATAAAAGGAAAAGACAAGACTCACCTTGGGATCCAGTGTCTTTAATATCCCATGCACTTAAGCAGAAATTTGCATTCCAAGAAGAAGATTCCTTTGAGAAAGAAAATAATTCCTGGGAATGTTCTCCATTTTCTAGTCCAGAAACTTCAAGGGTGAGATTATAAGGTTAAATCTTCAGTTTTTCTAGTGTGTATTGTTCATGATGTATCTTTGCCTTCAAGTTCCTTGAAGTAATTAATTATGCAGAATGGGCTTAAAATTGTTGATGCTGTGTGCTGCTAATGTTTCTGTTGTTTGTGTTGACTTTCACGTTCATTTTTAGCTTTTAGCATACTATGAAGTTTTTTTGAGGTGAAACGCTTGGTTTGAAAAATACTTGTGCATAAGTTTATAATGGTTTATCCTGGGCACGTGCTAACTTGACATTGCTGCCTGCAGTATGAACTGGGTGTCTGAAACTTTGAGAGGACCAGAGAAAAATGGTGTGATAGATTCAACCTAACCATATTTAAATGTGAATATTCCCAATATTTTTTCTGGTCAAATATGAAGATTGGGTTATTTAGATAAATAGGACATTAACTGTGCCTTTAACAAAGCAGATGAGGTCAAAATTACTTCAATGACCATGCTCATTGGATACTTACAAAAACTCATATTTCAACCCTTGACTCTTAAGAATGCTTCTTTCTTGAAGTGTTTTTTCTTTGGTGTAGATACAATCCAAATTTGGGGGGTGGTTTTCCATCTCATAAACTAGTTGAGGTAGTAAATAAGAATAAGCCTTAGGAATGAGAGGAGCGTGAAAGATGGACAGTATATAAAGTCCAGTGGTGGCTTTAGAGTGGCGGACATCAGTCAGACAGCAAAGGAGATGGCAACTCAAAGAGCACAACAGAGCAGGGGAAAATCGTCCTACTCAGTTTCAGCGTGTGTGTGGTTTCTAAGTTACCGTTGTGCCTATGCAATAGCTGAGGCTTATCACGTTGACTCAGAAGATTATATTCTTAACTCTAAGAAGGCAAAAAAGTATATAGTTTACTTTAGAACTGTTACAATTAAAATTACAAATGTGTCTAAGTGTTCAACATTTGCATAGAAATTTGTAACTGGCAAAGTACTTTTTTTTACTCATCTCATTTGACCTTTGCAGCAATATTTTTTTCTATCGAAGTATAGCTGATTCACAGTATTGTATTAGTTTCAGGTGTACACCATAGTGATTCAGTATTTTTGCAGTTTATACTCTATTATAGGTCATTACAAGATAGTGGCTATAATTCCCTGTGCTATACAGTATATCCTTGTTGCTTATCTATTTTATATATAATAGTTTGTTAATCCCATACCCCTAATTTGTCCCTCCCCACTTCCCTCTCTCCTTTGGTAACCACAAGTTTGTTTTCTATATCTGTGAGTCTGTTTCTGTCTTGCATATACATTCTTTTTATTTTGTTTTGTTTTTAGATTCCACATATAAGTGACATCATACAGTATTTGTGTTTCTCTATCTGGCTTATTTTGCTAGGCATAATATGCTATAGGTCCATCCGTGTTGCTGCAAATGGCAATATCTCATTCTTTTTTATGGCTGAGTAATATTCCAGTGTGTGTGTGTGTGTGTGTGTGTGTGTGTGTTTGTGTGTACCACATCTTGTCAATCCAGTGATCTGTTGATGGTCCTTGGGTTGCCAATATTCCCTCTTTTACACATGAGGAAAATGAGCGTGAAAGTGGTTAAGTGATCTGCCTTCTGACATCTAAGTGGCAGAGCAGTGAATAGAACTTGGTTTATTAAAATTCTAGGATATTTGAAAACCTTCAGTTATCTCAGAAATTCACTTAGGTGGAACACACAGTTTCCCAGTGATAGTGGATCAAGGAGCTATTACTGGTTTGTCTTACACTGTTCACTGTTCCTTTCACATTTTCTTTCCAGCCAACTACAAGCATCTTAGAGAAAGAACCATCTCTTTTTGTAAATTTTATAGCACCTTGCTTAGGGCTGGGCACATAGAGACTCAAATTGTAGTCTACGGAGAGCTCAGTCTGTACAGCTGTGACTGTCCTGCTCGCTTTCATGTCCTCAGCCCTGACTGAGCACAGTGCCTGACATGTAACCCGCTCTTAAACGACTACTTACTGTTGAATGAGTTAAGCCTCAAAGGGTTATTTGGTGTTTGTGTTGCCATTCTTTTTTTTACATCAGAATAGTTTCTGTGTTAAATATTTGCTTCATTTCAGTTTGGACACCATATTTCACAGTCAGAAGGACATTGAACTAAAGGAAGAACTGACAAACAAGCAGGTATATTCCAAGCCACGAGCTACAGGGCTTGTGTCTGCACCTACAAGGCAGGATTGCAGAAGTATGCCAGCATACTTATCCCTACATGTGAAAGGATCTCACCTCCTGTTAAGGAAGTTAAATGTAGTCTATATACTGGGGTATATTAGTGCAAAGGTCTGAAGGATCTTGACTCTTAAGAATACCTGTCTCTGGTTTTAGAAGATCCAGCAGTTAACTGGCTACTGATGGTAGTTAGGTAAATGGATCTTTTTTTTTTTTTCCCATGTATGTTAATGTTATTAAAAGCTGAATGTATACTTTGAGTGATTCTCCTAAGAGCTAAATAGTAAATGATTTAATGTTTCTCATTAGAGAACAGTAAGGTCTCATTATAAGGTAACAGATGCCATTTAATGGGTTAAGAAAATGTAAACTAAGTCTGTATTGTACTACTCAGCAGATGATAGTACGTTTGGATTTTTAAAAACAATTTCTTAAAGCAGTTATGACTTTCTAACTTAAGAGCCTTTGAATCTTTTAAAAATTGGTAGTGATCTGGTTCATTTGGCCTCCAGCAACTTGGAGATTTTCAAAGAATATAAAATTATAATTTGTTCATTAAGATAGTCATACTTTGAATCATAGATTGAACCTCCTGAAAAATCTTCCTGAGGTGATAAAAGAATTAGAAGCTGATTTTGACCATTAAATGCTAGATTGTAGAAGTACTTAAAGAATCTTCTTGATAAGCTTTGCCTACACTTGCTATGTAAATATGTACGCTTACCACTTTATTTCCTCTGTTCCTTTGTAAATAAATACGATTTTTTGAACTTGTTTGTGTTTTATAGCAGTTCCAATTCACGTTCTCTCCTCAGTACATTTAGAACGTCTGAACTTTTTTTGGAAAGAGGGTTCTGTAGTTAGTTTCTTGATCAATGCAATGAAACACACAAAAGTTTGGAATAGGTGTTTTGTCCTTCTGCCAGTACTAATGTGGTGTGGGAATTTACATGTTTCCCTAGAAATGGAGCTTAGGTTCCATTTGGAGGAACTCAGCACCCACCCATTTTACACGCTCTCCCCTTTTGGAAGAGCCCAGTTTGCTCACAGGTTTCATGTTATTGTGGTAGAGGGTTGGCTGCCTGGTAACCCCTATTTCCGACCCCTTTCTCCTGGCACCTTCCAGTTAGGGGTGGCTGTGCAGCATCCATCTTATAGCCACGAGGAACGGGCTTGAATCACAGAGATGTGAACCCTGACATCACTGAGCTGCTGAACTAACACCAGTGAGAGCCATCTCCACACTTCTTGTTACATGAGAAAGAGAAATAAAAAAATATGCATTGTGGGTTTTCTGTTACTTGCAGCCAGAAGCATTCCTGATGATACAGCAAGTACAGCAGTGTGACTTCCATACCTGCCTGTTACTCCTTCTGTGTAGTTTTCTGATACTTCTTATCCTGTGTCAGTAGTTTGTTCTTGCTGTTGTTCCTGCCCCTCATAGACATTGCTCCCACCCTGCCTTTTCTTCTCTCTTGTCCTTGTAATTAGAGTCCTCTTCCTCTGAAATAACTGCTTTTTATCCCCTGGGGTAGTCTTGCATTTTCAGTTTTATAGTTTCTTTATTTAGAAATGTTTAAGGAACAACCCCTCCCCAACAGCCAGCAGAAACCTTTGGAAGATACCATTTTCTGCTGAGTGAAGTCCATTTCTTAAGAAACCTCAAGTTAGTTTTTCTGGGGGGCTTTTCTGTTCTACTTCAGAATGAATTTCCTGCTTGTCCAAAGCACATGTCGGCACCACGATGCATCAAGATTGAGTTGACTTTGAATTCACCTCTGTTTAGAAGTCTCACTTCTGATGTCCTGGGGGACACGAGCCCATGCCCTGAAATTCCCCTTTGGGAGGCCTTCTGAATAGCCTACACTTGGGCTCCTGGTGACTTAATGTTGACTGTAGAGTTCGTGAGGGTTTAGGCTTTCATCATGACTCTATCTGTAAATCATCTAATACCTAAGTGTTATTTATAACGTTGTATTCTATTTTAAACTTGTCTGAACATAGAGTGAGTGCTGACACTTTCTGTTCTTGCAAGGTATATAAACGCCAACTTCTTTTCCTGACTCTAAAGCATTAATCCTCCCACTTGCCCTAGAAGAGTCCCTCCTCTCTCCTCCCGTTTCCTCGGACGCCTTAAACTAACTTGCATTCTCTTTCTTGATTGGCTGCTAGTTAATCCCTAGAAAAGAATCAGGGCATTTGACAAAACATTCTAACACTATTTTATATTGGAAAAAATACTGGTTTTGTATTATAGACCACAGGAAGTTAAAGCTGTTCAAAATCTTGACTGGTTGAGATGTGCAGATGATAGCAGTGATTGTCAAGGCAGGGAGGGGAGATGGGACTTCCTAGGAGGATGTAGCAGCATCTAGAGGGCACCCCTAAATTGAAAATATTGGCATGGGACTGTTATGGGGATGGAGTGTCAAAAGACTTTGCTTTTACAATGAGATCTATCTGGGTGTGTTCTCAGGATCACACCCCTGCAAGGGAAGGAAGCAGGATTCGGTGAGGGAGAAGTTGGGCTGTAATGCAGCCTCGGCAAGGGCCTCAGCACACCCTGGAGGGCGCTCTGAAGCTGGGGTAGCCCTCATAGTAGTCTCCCATTGCTCTGAGGGTGCTGGGTCTTTATGTCTTTACATTGACCGTACATTGAGGAGTGGGGCATGACCTTGAGCAAGGCATCCTTCAGCCAAGGGCATTTCCACAAGAGGTTTATCATAGTGGTGCATCACAGTCCATTAGAAGATTAGCCATCCACAGAAGACATGGGTTCCAAAAAATGTTGCAGGGCCCAGCCTGCCTTCCACTGCCATTAGCCTTCAGTAGTATTGACTGCCCAGAATTACCAGAACCCATTACCCTGTCATCCTTCTACCAGGCTAGTTTTGTTTTCTTTTTTATTGCGGTAC